CATGCTATTTAGCCTCCATGTGTTTGAATGTTTTTGAGTGTTTTTATTGTAATTAATTTCTAGTTTCATACCATTATGATCTGAGAAAATGCTTGATATGATTTCTATACTCTTGAACTTGTAGAGATTTATTTTTTGTCCTAATATGTGGTTAATCTTTCAGAATTTCCCATATGCACTTGAGAAGAATGTATATTCTGCAGCTTTTGGGTGGAATAGTCTGTAATTGTCAATTAAATCCATCTGTTCTAGTGTGTCATATAAGGTCTCTGTTTTTGTTGTTATTAACTTTTTGTCTGGAAGATATATGCTGTGATGTCAGTGTTGTTCAAGTCCTCTGCTATGACTGTAATCCTGTCAATGTCTCCCTTAAAGTTCTCCAACAAAGTTTTTATATATTTAGGTACTCCTATATTGGGTGCATATATGTTTACTAGAGTTATATCCTTTTGTATTATGTAATGACAATCTTTGTCTCTTTTTATGGCCCTCATTTTGAAGTCTATTTTGTCAGATATAAGTATTGCTACCCCAGCTTTTTTCTTTTTCATTTCTATTTGCATGGAAATTTTTTTTCCATCCTTTCACTTTCAGTCTGTGTCAATCTTTGTTCTGAGGTGGGTCTCTTGTAGACAGCATATATATGGGTCATGTTTTCTTATCCACTCAGTCACCCTATGTCTTTTGACTGGAGCTTTTAATCCATTTACATTTAAGGTTATTATTGATAGGTAGTTATATATGCCATTTTTTTCTTTCTACTTATGTTCCTCTCTCTCTCTCTCTCTCTCTCTCTCTCTTCTTCTTCTTCTTCTTCTTCTTCTTCTTCTTAAAGCAAGGGTCGTAACTTTTCCTGCAATGCTGGTTTGATGGTAATGTACTCTTTCAGCATTTTTTTTTTTGGGGGGGGGGGAGGGTCGGGGAAGCTCTTTATTTTTCCTTCAATTTTAAATGATAGCCTTGCTGGATAGAGTTGTCTTGGGTTCAGGTTCTTGTTTTTCATTACTTTGAATACTTTTTTTTTTCAATTAAATCTTTATTGTTCAGATTATTACATTAGTTACTCTTTTTCCCCACCATAACTCCCCTTTACCCAGTTTCCACCCCACCCTCCGCCCTCACTCCCCACCCACTGTCCTCATTCATAGGTGCACAATTTTTGTCCAGTCTCTTG